ATAGCCGGTCTAATCGCCGGTCTATAGAACTTGCCTTTTAGCTTTTGTGGTACCCTCTTGTCACAGAGAATGTCAGAAGTTTGTCGCTACTTGATACATCCTGCTTTGATTTTATGGCTAACGTCCGCATCAATATTTTCATCCCTATGTAGCATCGATCTTAGATACCGAAAAGTATCATTCCTAGACACTACTTGACCTTTTAAACTCACTTCTCACTCCTTCTGGACAACAATGCAGTCTCTGGTTAGATTTGGAAAATACAATCTGTAAAAACGTGTTGGCCCACTCCACCGGAGGGTGCCGCGCCTGTTTTTCTAGTGTACTCCGATCTTTTTTTCATATCTCAGTACGGTATTGAGACTCTTCCTACTCCAACAGTAAAATTTTGTAGTCAAACATTTGTTTCCAGCAAACAACGATTTGTTGCAGGATATTACAGGCTAGCTCTAGTTGGCTTTGATAAAAACAGCTCAATCGATTATAGCTCTCCTGGGAAAAAAAAGGAGATTGCCTGTCGTCTATCCACCAAAAAATAAGATTTTTAGTTTTTTATACTGCCAAATAAACATTGGCAGGCTCGCTTTGGTCAGTCTAGACGAATCAATCAGTAAGCTCTCCTCACCAGTTTTTCCCCCTTTTGTGGTGACAGGAGCATTAATATTCAGAAGAAGAGGCTATATATGGCAGGAAACCCACATAGCATGACAGCAGTGCTGAAATAACCGAGAGGGGGAGAGGCCTACCTCGGGCGGCGGCGCTCCCGCTGAACGGACACGAGACGATTCAGCGCTAGCAGACCCATGATGCAGAGATGGCTGGGATGGGAGAGACGCTAGTCAGGTCCCAGTAAGGCGCAGGGGGAGAAGACAGGAGGAGAGATCCCAATGGCCTACCTACCAACTACCAACTACCAACGGAAACCGGATTCTTTGAGTTCATTGCAAAATTTAGAGAGAGGGAAGTGTTTTTTTTTTGTCGTGCACTCGGCAAAGACGTTGCCAAGTGCTAAAAAAAACTCTCAAAAACTTTTTTTCAAAAAATAAAAAACGCACGCCACGACATGCCCGCACCACCATTACACCGCCGCCACCAACCACCATCCACGCCCGCTCGGGAAGCCAGGCCACACATTGTATCCACTTCTTTAATCGGCAAACGTGCCAAATCCGCCACTAGTGAACTCCCCACCGGATCCATCGCTTGAACGCTCCTCCCTCCTTTGATCCGTCATTCAGAAAGCACACCTCCCAGACGGATCCGCCAATGAGCTAATCCTCACGGGATCCACGCCATGGTGGAGCCGTGGAGGGAAAATGGACGAGGCGCGGGTGCTGACCCAAAGACGGACGGGTTTGGTTTATGGCTCTCTCTCCTCTGTGTCATGCACGAGGAGGGAGGAGGAGAGACGAGGGAGGAGGAGCGGAGCCAGCGATCAGCCTGCCTTTCACCCGGCTCACCTGTAGGGGAGTGCCCAAACGCCGAGGAGGGAGGGAGGAGGGGGGCGACACCGCATCGGATCTCGTCGATGGAAGGGGCGGGCTGGGAAGAAGGTAGCGGAGGGGGGGGAACTGGGGAAGAAGGGAGGGCCAGATCCGAGGAGGGGAGGGAAGGAGGGGGCGGCACCACGATCGGGAGGGAGGGGCAGCACCGGGAAGAAGGTAGGCAGGGGGGCTGGATGAGGGGGCCGGGAGCGAGGCGAGGGGCGGAAATAGAACAAATATGGCCGAGAGGGAAGAGGCCAGCCAGGAGAGGAGGGGAGGGAGGCGGATATCTTGGGGAGGAGGGGATGGCGCCGGAGGCTAGGAGGAGAGAGAAGGGGTGGGGACAGGAGGGTGGGGAATTTATGAAAGCAGGGGATGCATAGAATTTTTTTCACAAATTTGCCGAAAAATGTCCCAGGATGGGGCACTCGGCAAAGTTTTTTTTCATTTTTTTCTTCTCCTTCTTTTTTTTGCCGAGTGTTCCAGATCTGAGCACTCGGCAAAGTTTTTTTTCATTTTTTTTTCTTCTTCTTTTCCAGAAAAAAAAGATTTTATTTTCTTTGCCGAGTGTTTTTTTAACACTCGGCAAACCACCTCTTTGTCGAGTGTTTTTTTACACTCGGCAAAACACCCTATTTGCTGAGTGTTTTTAGCGCGGCATTCGGCAAAGCACTTGTTCGCCGAGTGCCCGAGGGAATACACTCGGTAAACATAAATACACTCGGCAAATTTGAGGATTCCGGTAGTGTACTCCCCGTTTATTCCTTTTATCGCCTGCATACTCTGCTTTGTTCTAGCACCGGAGACAAATGTATCATGTATGGTTTTATCATATTTATCAAATCAAATCAAACCTAGCTCCTGAATTGTTGTCTATATATCGAGGAATTAGTAGCCCAAGCTAATGTGAAATTACAACGAACTACACGTACAAACACGCAAAAACATCTTCAATCGGCTTCATAAACGTGCTTCCTACAATTGAAGAAAGCTGAAGCCGAAACTGTTTTTTCATTATTAAAAAAAGAAACTAGTTAGCTGGCTGGCAACGTGTGTCCTTTTCGAAGAAAGCTGAAGCCGAAACTGTTTTTCATTATTAAAAAAAGATGTAAGCAAATGTTCTTTTACAATGAACGAACTATAAGCATGCCAGAAACATTTGGTTGTCTATATCGATGCGGTTCCTAGAAAGATGAGCTCTCCATTGCACCCTCCGCTGGTCTGGTCCTGCCCATAACGCCTGAGCGTAGCTCCTGCTGAGTGCTGACTGAGGTGCCTTGTCGTCTTCGCCGGCGACGACGTCGAGCCGCTTTGGATTGCTCATCACGTATTTTGGCTTTGAAGAGGAGACAGGTGGCACAGGAAATAGCGGGGAAAAATAAAACGACGGGAGGTCCCAGTCCCCTTCTCATTTGCCTTTGCCTGTCACGCACCGAGCAGAGCTACGAGCATGGAGGGTAGGAATAATGGAGATCGCGGGTCTTGGAGGAGCCGGTATCGCGATCACACCACCCGTGGTTCCGGCCGTTCCACCTCATCTAGATCTAGCGGCTACACATAAGCAGGTACCGTCGTCTCGACTGGCTACACATCTAACAGCTCTCGTCGCCTGTCATCTTTCTCCTCCCTGAAGGCGGCCATACACCTGGACTTCTTGGAGTTGGACGAGGACAGGTGGTTGTCTCAACCAACCAAGAAGTCTCGCAAAGAAATAGAGACAAGCAAAGAAACACAGAAGATGTACCACCACCAAGACGTCGACATAGCGCAGAAGGAGACGGAGGATTAGCTAATCTACTGTCACCTTGTATGAACACAGCAGAAGAAGGCGGCGCCGACTTAGCCGCCTGCTGTGTGTGAACACGGCAAGGGAAGGCGACGTCGACTTTACCCCTGCGCCATTTTATACAAGAGCTGCCAACCAGGGTGGTCAGGCCAGCACGACGACTCACCGCAACACGCATCCCAGAGGAACAAGCAAGCGTTTCACCACACTTATGGCCTATGCAGAGTCATCCCCGCCAGATTATCTAGTTATCGTGCAAGATGGATCGCCATGTATGGACTAGATAGTTAGAGTTGTATAAATAGACATGTATGGCAACTCAAAGAAAGAGAGCTCAGATTTACCATCACACAGATCAGGGCTCGACCAACGCCGTTGTCTTGTATTGTGCGCGTGCTTGCTCGCTTTCTCCTTCTTCTCCAACTCCGTCCCCAATAGTGTGTGGGTACGGACAACGCCGGTCAGACGTGGTCTCGCACGGCTAGTGGGTGCTCGGCAACACTAGCGCGCAGCTCGGGCGAGACCGCTGGTGTGCTCCACTCACCGAAGGAGCTCGGCTGCTCCGGCAAGATCGGCTTAGAGTGGTTCACCGTCGTGAGCCGGTGATCCCGTGAGACCAACGGAGTGGTCTCAAGGCCATCTCGATGGTCTTGAGGCTATCTCAGAGTGGTCTGGAGGCCATCTTGGCGGTCAAGCACCGGCTATCTCAGTGGTGGTCCATGAGGCTAACTAATGGGCCAACAAGTGGTATCGAGAGTCTGTACAAGTGCCATCGCTATGCTAACCGATGGCGATGACAAAGGTGTTCGGAGTTGGGCGACGGCATTAACTAAAGTGCACCGTTGTACGCATCAAATACTACCGGATGTAGTTGTTCGCGATGTTGACGGAGGTCACGGTCACCACTTTTTCCGACGCCGACTTTGCACTAACTATGGAGACTGGTTTCAACCATGAAGGTCAAGCTCGAGCCCGAATGTTGCTGGAATGCATCTAAATGTTTCAAAAGACAAGGGCACCGACGTGGAAGAAGACGACATGTCGTCGCTGGAGGTTATCTCTCGCCGGCTAGGCATCCGCTGCCCTCCTTCTCTTCTCGGTGTTGAGCCGCGTTGGGGACGAAAAAGCTCAGCTAAGGAGGCGTGGGAGGCCATTATGGCGATCATGGCGTCCGCCCGACCGCGCAAAAGAAGACGACGGCCCAAATTTCTAAAGCGGAAGAGCACGCAAACCTTTTTTGTTCAAGAATACCTAGAAATCGGTGGAGGGCTTCTCCTCCACTCATGCCCTCCGAGGCTCATCATGACCCAGAATCATGAAGAACCACTTATGTTTACCATCGACGAAGAGGAGACGGTCTCCAAATTCCTCCACTCTATACCGGTATAGTACATCCAGATCGCTCTCTCCGTGTACGCATTACAGGTTTCGTTAACGCATGCCTTGCTAGGAAAAGAAGACCAAGTCGCTCTGAATTTTGAATTGGGCCTACTTTGCGACCCAATTGAGCCCACGCGTGGGAATGCCGAACCTGTGGGAGTGGGAGAGCCGGAGAAGCCGAGAGGGGAACGCACCTGGGACCTGTCTCCTACCCTACCCCCCTCCACTGCCGTTCGAAATTAAGGAGGGAAAGAAAGAGGGAAAGGCCATCGAGGGCCCGCCGCCGAGCCCTCCGCCCCTCCCGCTTCCGCCCCATCTCCGGTGGCGGCGGCTGCGGCGATCGCGGCGCAATGGCGACCTACATCAACGAGCTCCGCGCGCTCATCGCGTCTACCTCGACCTCCACCGCGTCCGACGGCGCCGAGCCGGGCTCCGCGCACCTCGAGGTCAAGCTCCGCGAGGTGCTCCCCAACCTCCTCCGCGACTACGTCGTCCCTCCCCAAAGGTGCGCCCCACTTCTCGCCCCCCCTCCGTCCACGTTCATCTCCCGCGGACCGCGGTTGGCCTGACCGTTGCCGTGTGGGCCCGAGGTTGCAGCCGCCGGGAGGGAGCTCAGGGAAGTCAGCGCGATCCTGAAGCTGGTCGCCTTCACGGCGCTCAAGTTCCCCGGGGTATTCTACAACGGCCGCGCCGCCGACGTCCTCAGAGTCATCGCCCGCATCCTCACGTTCCTCGCCGAGCCCAATTTCAGGCACTGCCTTCCGTCCCCTCCTTTTCGCCTCCACTAAACCCTAGTCCAATCGCTTCTTCTATCCGGGAATAGATTGCGGATGCTATTGTGGTATGAATGTGCTGTTTGATTGGGATCTCGTATGTTGTACACTTTTTTCCTAAAAAAATGTACACAGATTTATCCCCATTCATACAGTTGTGCAATGGTGTTGCATATTGTCCATTCGGTACCAATCCATTTACTATCCAGACGTGGTATGGAGCTAGCTTATAATCTCTGTGCCTAAGAGACCAAAGGTGCAGATACCCACTAGTGATTAGTGTATAGTGTGCCTAGCAACATGTGTCTTAATTTACTAGAGTAGGAGTACCAAGTTACCCGCAACTGGACATAAATTTACCTTTGGATTTCTTCTTGTGGGTCAAAGGGAAAATGGCCTAGTAGGCTAAGGACGACTTCACATGTATAGTAATAATAGTATAAATGTGAACTACAAGTGTGTGTGACTGTCATCCTTGCAGTCTTTTTTTTAAAAGTAATTTGATAAGGTAGTGCTATCTAAGTTTCACACTGGCATATTTCACTTGCTAAACATCCCACCTATTGTTTACATGTATGTTCTTTCTTCACTATTGCAGGTTGAGCCATGAGATTATATTCCAGGCAGTTTGGAATCTTCTCTCCATTCTCCGTACAGGTGACCGTGAAGCCTACAGACAATTCTTTCTAGATGCTATGGTTGCGGTAGAAGGTATGCATTTTGTTCTGTTCATCTTATATTCTATAATTACAGACAATGTAGGAATATGATTAGTTAAGTCATGCAGAAAGGGCTGAAACTTGACCTTGTCCAATCCAACAGATGTGCTATATGTGGCATCATTGCATGACAGAAGTCCTAGTGGCGTGCCTCCTGGAAGATGTTTAGTTAAATGCCTCTGTGGATCCTTCTTGGATATATTAGACACACCTGGGCCTTATAGTGAGCTCCCAGCCAGTTGCCGACCTAAGAATGGACCTGGCGTGCTGGTTGATCTGACAGGCGATGCAAGATGGCGCCCATTTGCCACTTCGTTGATTAAACTAGTTAACAAGTGTCTTACAGATGGGACCTTGTATGTTGATGGGCTTGTTAACATGCCATTTGTTTCTGCTGCTTGTTCTATCCTCTGCTATGGGGATGGTTCTCTGCATAAGGTTGGTATCTCTCTTGATGAATAGCTTTAACTTTTGGTTATCCTTTGGTATCTGAAAGTCAATCTGTTGCAACAGGTTTGTTTTGATTTCGCACGTATTGTTGCCACAGTAATGACTCCTGAGATTCTTCCTCTAGGAAACATCATTCGTTCAATCACATGCATTTTGAGCCAAGAAATTAGCGAACTCTCCGATATCAGGTATAATGATGTTCGTACTCATTGCTCCCAGTTACTGAAATTACTGCACCCAATTGAGGAGACATAAGTTGGATCTTGGACACAATATTGGGTTATCGTTATGCTGGATTGTAATTTGCATCTGTTTTCTTTAGCTGCTCTGCACGCGTTTTTGGAAATGGATTTATTTACATTTACATACTATTTCTCTTTACTGTCACTGGAATGTTACTGCTTGGAACTTCTCTCTGTAAAATTATAAATGAAACAGATAGCTACCACTTTAAAGTTCAGCTATGCATTTTTTCATTTGTGTCCATCGTGTCTTTAGTTCAAGGTGGGAACAAGAATATAACTTGGATTTTTCACTATTTTCCGTCTTTGAATCTGAATTGAATCTATTTTTTTAACGCAATGACAGGAGCTCTGCCTTTCAATTAAGTAGAATGGAATTGACCTGGTTTATAAGGGAAACTAGGCTTGAAAACCATACAGACACACAGTTTATTAGATGGAAAACCGGCGAAAAACCCTAACCATGATAGCCCAGACGACAAACCCTACTACCCTAGGCAACACACTTACACATAAAGGACACCCTAGTTATAACCATTTTCTGCATGAGAACTAGCCCACGACTGCACCATTGGTATTGTTTTGCTGTATTGGCCAACCGGGAAAAAAAATTGAGCATGTGAAAGCTAGATAAATTAAAAGAAGAGATCAACATTTTTCTCTTCAACAAAGGCATGCAAGCACGTCAGCTGCCACGAAGGCATGAACCTGCATGTTCAGATAATTTTCCTTTCTATTATGTGCTGGCGTGCTGCATGTGCATCATTGTCCTTCCAAATTCCAAGTTGCTTGTATCAAACCAAATTTCCTATTATTTTCTCCATCCTTGCACTGACTCAAGTGAAGAATGTGCTGCCAACCTACATGCTAACCAGCTGCTAATTAGACTATACCTAGCAAATACTCCCTAGTTTTTTTCTTTTCAGGGCCCACATTTTTTGGCTCATATACCAAGGAGCATGATAGCCAACAATATTGCACTTGCTTAATTCATTTAGTATACATACTTTCTGAAGCTTTGTTTCCTGCCATGTACTAGTTACACAGCCAGTAAATGAAGCCGCATGCGTATATGCATGACCGTGGATCAATTACTGCCTTTGCTTAAATAACTTGCCTGTGAACCAAAGTAGAAAACCACTAACAAACGTATAACTGTACTTTAATTCCTTGGAAACTAGTTACACCTTCGAAATTTGAACAAGTCCACAGGAAAACAAAAGGCACGCGCTAAATCTGAATGGTGGCAGTAATTGGGTAGTTTATTTGGTCATCGAAGACAATATTAAAATTAAATCCAGATAGATGATTCATATAACTGTTGCGGGGTTCGAGGTCAAAGGAAATTGCAACTAGACATATCACTTCATCCTACCTCATGTGAAAATCCTTACTCCATACGGTTCCAATTGTAGGTTTAACGTTTTACAGCTCCTCTTAAAAATTTTCATTCAAAGTTCTCCTTTTGTTCCTATTCTGCCCATGCTAATTGGATGCTATTCTAAATTTCTAATCAATAAATGTGTCATCATTTCCCATGCATTCCTCTTGGGGAGAGAATTAAGAATTAGGTCCCTTTGTAGGGGAGGAAAACAGTCCTTGTAATGAACGAGGTCTTGACTGGCAATATTCTCTGCTACACTGCTACTGTAGTTCCTGACTTCTGCCAAGGCCTAAAATGATTTATATATCAAATAGAAGTAGTAACTTATAACATAGGTTTTGGTTCCCCCTTGTTTATTGGAATCCAGAAATCTGACACGTTACCAAAATGCTTTATCTTGGTTTCTGCAGAGATGCAGATTATGACTTCTCAATGGGAGTGTGTCTTCGTGCACTGCATTCTTCATGTCCTGACTATATTGTTGAATCTACAGCTGTTGATATTGTTAATATTCTCGAAAAAGCAGTAAAGACCAGCAAAAGTGCAGAACTTCAGGTTCCAGGACCAACTTGACTTACCTAGGTTCTATGCATAGTTCCATCTACTAACCCCTACTCCTTTTCAGGTTGCACTGTACACTGCATACAAGAGAATAGTTGAACTTTGCTCTGTACAAGTATGGAAACCAGAAATCCTTCTGAAGTTGCTCTGCTTGCCAAAACCTTGCAGCAAACTGATTCAATGCATTCGAGCGGTTATCAGCAAATTTGGTCAAACCTTTTTCACTCTGGATGATGGTAATGGTCAAAGCAGTCCTCAGGCAAGATCTGGAAAAATCGAGTTGCCAAAAGTTGGCCAGAAAAGAATATTACGGCATGAGGAAAGCAGTTCTGTCAAACGTCAGAAGATGACTGAATCAGGATTTTCTGCTGCCACTGGATTTGAAAAAGAAGATTATGGCTATGCTTTTCTACAGTCTTTAAATTCACTGATTAATTGCCTGTCACCAGACAATCATGAGACTTATCCATTAGACCCTGAGGCTGCTATAGAAGTGATTAGTCTGCTGTGTATTTCATTATGTGTTTATCCGAAGACAAGTCTGTTTACCAGAGTTTCTAAGCAAGTCCTTTCATGGATTTCTTGGATTCATAAACAGGTAGGCAAAAATCACTGAAACTTGCATCTTTATTGATTTAGCTTGTATTTTTTTCATCCTAAAAATTATTAATCTTGCAGACAGACCAGAGAAACTTGCATTCATTTGACGTGCCACTGTATTTTGAAGCTCTTCATACTGTAATGCTTCTCCAATGTGAGCCTTCCACTTATGCATGTCTTTAATTTAGCAGCACTTTGCATTTTGTGCATGTCTTGTTGGGCCTTATGTGCTGCGATTTTCTTATGATCTGTCTTTTGAGACATCAGGTTCATTTGTCTTGGAAGAGCTCTAAATATGTGCTACCACCCTCTGTCCCAAATTATAGGTTGTTTTTGGCTATGTACCTAGATATACAATATGTCTAGATGCATAATAAAAAAAATGTGTATCTAGAAATACCAAAACGACCTATAAATTGGAACGGAGGGACTACTTCTTAATTTCCCTTTCACATTGGTAATACTTCCTAGACAGAGATACAGTTGTGTTTAAAAATACAGAACAAATGCGTGGAATGTGAGACTAAGGACCACGGAAGAAATAATGTGTCAAACTCGATCTGTTTTGCCAAACTGAACAGAATGATTTGCCTGTGCTCGTTTTCCACAGCAGCGTTTATAAATAAGCACTGTACTGCTCTGAAAAGTAACCACAAATTACCCCCATTCCTAAATCCGAATGCCCAGATAAGCTAGCTAGCTTAGCATGCACAGGTAGCTGTTTGTGGTGGTCCAGATTATACACCCTTGCAATTTTGCAGCATCATCCCTCGAACAAAGCATCTTCAAGACTGCAATATTAGGACAGTTAGGCTTGTAAAAAATGGTATACGTAAGTGATCTGTTTCTCCCTGACATCAGGTTACAAGTTTTTAAGGTTTAGATTTAGAATATGCTTGACCTTCCTGAGTATATGGTAATCAAGTTGTGCATCTCTTTATTTCAACTTTAATAGCTAACCCTTTTTGTCTTAATGTTGGTGCAGTCAATCTTCCTGGGCACACTAAACTTCTTGAAGATGACTCTCAGTTGATTGGCGATGGTGCACATTTTGTTCATCCAACATATGCTGACCTCATCAATCTGTTGAAACTGATGTGGGATGTTGGTCATGCTGTCACTGAAACTAGTTCAAACTACAAGATAGAATATCTTTTGTTGCAAGTCTTTGCTAAGATTGGCAATAGACTGACTTCTGGATGTGATATTGAATTCCTTGATTTGGCTATCCGTAATGGAACTGCTGAGACTAAAAATGAGGCAATTATATCACTACCCATAATTGTGTTATATTCTGGTCCTAGGATGCTTGGAGCAATGTTTAAGAAACTTGAGTGAGTGGACTTGCTTCCCCTTTCATGATTATTGTAGATGAGATGTACTTTTCCAGTTAAAGTTTTTTAATAAGTTATTTTGTTTGTTATCCAGTACGTGTGATTCTATCCTTCAAATTTTGTTCTTAAATACATGTAGTTTCATGATTTTAGGTTGATATCTTACTATGCCGTCCCTTGTTTGCTTGCTAAAGGTCAGTGGATGCTTTAGGACTCGAGAACGTGGGGAAAAGTATTGCCTTTTCACTTGGTTTTCTATCTTGCTTAAATGGAACCACTGATCACACTGACAATGTGGGGGACCATTGCAAGCTATTCTTGGACAAGCACTATGAACAACCTGTGTCAACATTAGATCTTCTCTTGAGAGGTTTCTGTTGCCCTCAATGTGATATCATGAATAGAACTGTCCACAATGAAGAGCAAGTTTCTATAGTGGACATTGCACCATTACAAGTTGAGAATGTGGACTTCAATATTAACATCTCCAAGGCCCACACTCTCTTTTTCAAATTTCTCTACACGGGGACTTCTGAGGAATCTATAGTTTCTTTGGTTGAAGCTTTGCCACGGTTATTGAGGCATTCTAGCAGGCATCTTCTACTTGAGATGAGAACTCAGTGGAATCAGTGTTTTGAATTTCTTCTGTGTCATGAAATGAAAGCTGTCAGGGAAGCATTTTCTGGTGTAGTCTACTGCTTCTTGGAAAACAGTGTTATGGATATTTTGTTTTCTGGTGGACTGGGAATGAATGAAGGGTCTAAAGAACTTCAGTTCATGGACAAGATAAAATGTGCTTTCACCAAAGCTGAAGATTCTCAGATTCTTTTGACACTTCTGGAATCAATTGGTACTATTGTGAAAGTTAGTGATATTCATGGAGAAGTTTTCTTCTGCTCATTTGTGTTACTTATTGGCCAGCTTGATAATCATAATTCTATCATAAGGATGACTGCATTGAGATTAATTCACAGATGCTGTGCATTCTGTTTCAAAGGAGGACTGGATCTCTTCCTCTTGAAGTACTCACATGCTAGAGATAATTTATATGACTATCTGTCATCTAGACTTGTGACTCATCCAGTAATAATTAAGGAATTCGCTGAGGACATTGTAGGTATTAAGACCGTAGAGCTGATTAAGAGAATGGTTCCATCAGTTATACCAAAGCTCATTGTATCGCACCCAAACAATAACCATGCTATTTTTACTCTGCGTGAACTGGCAAGCCATCTAAACACTGAGTTGGTACCACTGATTGTAAATATGTTGCCTAAAGTTCTCTGCTTTGCTCTTTTTTATGAAGATGGGCAGCATTTACCATCAGTTCTGCAATTTTATAAGAATGAGACGGGAACTGATAGCAAAGAGATATTTGCAGCTGCTTTGCCTACACTGCTTGATGAAATTGTATGTTTTCCTGGGGAATCTGATCAGATTGAGAATGATATAAGGTTATATTCTTTCCATTAGACATGCAGTTCATTGTAAATGTTAGGTATATATGAACAATTTTCTAATAATATATTAATTTTCAGGACAGCAAAAATCTCACCAACAATTCAGAATATTGCTAGAATTCTGACAGGCAGTGAAACTCTTCCTGAGTTTTTGAGGAATGATTTTGTTCGCCTTCTCAATAGCATTGACAAGAAGATGCTTCACTCTGATGATATGAAGCTTCAAAAACAAGCTCTCCAGCGAATAAGGAAATTGATTGAGATGATGGGCCCTTATTTGAGTACACATACGCCAAAGATTATGGTCCTGTTGAGTTTCGCCATTGATAAGGAAGGTCTCCAGATGGATGGTCTTGATGTCTTACATTTTTTCATAAAGCAATTGGCTGAAATATCACCAAGTAGTATCAAATATGTTCTGTCCCAAGTTGTAGCTGCTTTCATTCCATCTCTGGAAAGGTGCAGAGGATGTCCTTCCACGAACCTAGGTAAAATTGTTGAAATCCTAGAAGAGCTTGTTGTGAAAAACAATAGCTTGCTAAAGCAACATATACGTGAACTACCACTGTTGCCTAGCATGCCGTCTTTATCGGAAGTAAACAAGGTAATACAGGAAGCTAGAGGGCTAATGACACTGCAAGATCATCTGAAGGATGCTGTCAATGGTCTTAATCATGAAAGCTTAAATGTGAGGTACATGGTAGCTTGTGAGCTGAGTAAATTATTCAATGCCAGAAGGGAGGATATGACTGCTCTTATCATTGGTGAAGATATTGCTGATTTGGATGTAATAAGCTCTTTAGTTATGGCTTTACTTAAAGGATGTGCAGAGCAATCAAGGACTGTTGTTGGCCAGAGACTGAAACTAGTTTGTGCAGACTGTCTTGGCGCACTTGGTGCTGTTGATCCTGCTAAGTTGAAGGTAAGTTCTTGTGAACGCTTTAAGATAGAATGTTCAGATGATGATCTGATATTTGAGTTGATCCACAAGCATCTTGCAAGGGCATTCAGAGCTGCTGCTGACACTACAGTGCAAGATTCTGCTGCCTTGGCTATCCAGGAGCTACTAAAATTGGCAGGTTGCCAGTCTTCATCTAATGAAGAATCAAATTGTTGTGAGATGAGCTACAGGGGCCAGAAGTTGTGGGACCGTTTCTCAAACTATGTCAAGGAAATTATTGCCCCATGCTTAACATCGAGGTTTCATCTTCCTAACACAACTGATTCTGCTTTAGCTGGCCCAATATTCCGCCCAACAATGTCTTTTAGAAGGTGGATATACTACTGGATTAGAAAGTTGTCATCACATGCAACTGGATCCCGTTCTAGTATTTTTAGTGCATGCCGTGGAATTCTTCGGCATGACATGCCAACTGCAATCTATCTCTTACCATACTTGGTCTTAAATGTTGTCTGTTATGGTACTCCAGAGGCTCGTCAGAGCATTACTGAGGAAATTCTGTGTGTTCTCAATGCTGCTGCTTCTGAAAATAGTGGGGCTGCTGTTCATGAAATTGCAGTGGGGCAGAGTGAGGTCTGTATTCAAGCCATCTTCACTTTACTTGATAACCTTGGGCAATGGGTTGATGACCTCAAACAGGAAATTGCTTTATCCCAGTCTAGTTATGCCATGGCTGGAAAGCATGGAGGTAAACTGAAAGATGGAACATATTCTGATCATGAACAGGATCAAATGCTGGTGCAGTGTAGCAATGTTGCTGAGTTGCTGGCTGCTATACCTAAAGTCACTCTAGCAAGGGCCTCTCTTAGATGTCAAGCTCATGCTCGTGCTCTAATGTACTTTGAATCCCATGTCCAGGAGAATTCTGGTTCCTCCAATCCAGCTGCGGAGTGTAGTGGCACCTTTTCAGACAATGACATATCTTTTCTTATGGAAATATATGGAGGATTGGATGAGCCTGATGGCCTCCTAGGTTTAGCGAATCTGAGGAAGTCATCGAGCCTACAGGATCAGCTTATCATTAATGAGAAAGCTGGAAACTGGGCTGAAGTCCTAACCTTATGTGAACAGGCCTTGCAAATGGAACCTACCTCTGTTCATAGACAATCCGATGTTCTTAATTGTTTGCTAAACATGTGCCACCTTCAAGGCATGATCGCCCATGTGGACGGTTTGGTTTGCAGTATACCCCAGTATAAGAAAACTTGGTGCATGCATGGAGTGCAAGCAGCGTGGCGATTAGGGAGATGGGATCTCATGGATTCATATCTGACCGGGACAGACAAGGGTCTGGTGTTCAGCAGTTCTGAGAATAATGCTTCTTTTGACATGGATCTTGCTAAGATATTCAAGGCCATGATGATCAAAGATCAGTTTCTGGTTGCTGAAAAAATTGCCCAGTCCAAGCAAGCATTGCTTGTACCTCTGGCTGCGGCAGGCATGGACTCGTATATGCGTGCATATCCTTATGTTGTCAAGCTCCATATGTTGTGTGAGTTGGAAGACTTCAATTCCCTGTTGGGAGATGAGTCGTTTATTGATAAGTCATTTCGTGCAAATGATCCAAACTTTCTGAAGTTAACAAAGGATTGGGAGAACCGTCTGAGATGCACACAGCCATCCCTATGGACAAGGGAACCTTTACTTGCTCTGCGAAGGGTGGTTTTTAGTCAGAGTCATATGAATGTTCAAGTTGGGAACTGCTGGCTTCAGTATGCTAAGCTCTGCCGTTTGGCTGGTCACAATGAGACAGCCCACCTTGCAATACTAGAAGCAGATGCCTCAGGTGCCCCCAATGCTCACATGGAGAAGGCAAAGTATCTCTGGAATATACGGAAGTTTGATAGCGCTATAGCTGAACTTCAGCAAACGCTTATCAACATGCCAGCGGAAGTTTTGGGAAATGCTGTCGTTTCATCTCTTTGTAGCCTCTCTCTTGCTTTGCCAAATGCACCTATCTCTGCAACACAAGCATCGAAAGAGAATCCAGATGTGTCTAAAACCCTGCTTCTCTATACTAGATGGATTCACAATACAGGGCAAAAACAGAGTGCGGATATCAAATCTCTCTATTCTAGAGTAACGGAATTGCGGCCCAAGTGGGAAAAAGGTTTTTTCTGCATGGCAAAGTTTTTTGATGATTTGCTTGTTGATGCTAGGAAAAGGCAAGAAGATAAGTTTGCTTGTAAAGTTGGACCAGTCCCTTCTAGCTCTGCAAGCAGGGCAATTGAAGAAAAAGAGAAGCCTTGGTGTGAATTTCTTCCGGGAGTGCTACTATGTTATGGAAAAGCACTTCACAAAGGACATAAGAATCTTTTTCAAGCACTGCCTCGAATGCTTACTCTTTGGTTTGAATTTGGAAGCATATATGTCCGAAATGAATCTTCCTCCAATCATCGTATGAAAGAGATTAATGCAAATGTAAATTGATTGCACATCCTTTTCATATTCAATTTTTTTTCATTCTGCGTAAGAAACTTAATCAGCCCATTGCAGGTTTTAGGCCTCATACGTGGGTGTTTGAAGGATCTACCAACATATCAGTGGCTTACTGTGCTGTCTCAGTTGATCTCCCGCATCTGTCACCAAAATGCTGATGTTGTCAGAATGGTCAAATGCATCATCACATCTATTTTACGGGAATACCCTCAACAAGCTCTTTGGATGATGGCTGCAGTGTCTAATTCCACTGTTCTGGCAAGACGAGATGCTGCTGCAGAAATATTGCAGTCGGCAAAGAAAGGATGTCGGCGTGGGAGTAATGCACTCTTCAGTCAATTTACTAATCTTATAGGCCATCTTATTAGGCTCTGCTCTCATCCAGGGCAACCAAGGGCGAAAACAATAAACATCTCAACTGAGTTCAGTGCCTTGAAAAGAATGATGCCACTAGGAATTATCTTACCTGTCCAGCAAGCTTTAACTGTGACTCTGCCATCATATGATTCAAATATGTCGGATCAATCTGGTTTTCACCCCTTCTCAGTCTCTCAACATCCCACTATAGCTGGAATAGCTGATGAAGCAGAAATTCTTAACTCCCTTCAGAAACCAAAGAAGGTACGTTGAGCATTGCCTTGCTTGATTAATTACTGCATTAGTATGAAGAGCAACTGTTTAGGCTAACTAAATTTCACATCAAAAGCCATTCTAAATTTTGTTAGATGGTGAATATTTCTAGAGTGTTGTTCAAATCATTGTTGAATTTGATATTGAAGTTAAAAGGCTGTTCGACACTTGTACAAGTTTGTTAGTATTAGAGTTAGCGGTCCTATAGCTATACTTCAACTAGGCTGATAGCAACTCACCAGCTGATCATTTTGAACTTCAGGTTGTTTTCCTCGGAAGTGATGGAGTTGAACGTCCATTTCTTTGCAAACCTAAGGATGATCTTAGGAAAGACTCACGCATGATGGAGTTCAATGCAATGATCAACCGTCTCCTCTCCAAGGTCCCTGAGAGCCGCAGGAGAAAGCTCTATATCAGAACCTTTGCAGTGGTACCACTTACCGAAGATTGTGGAATGGTAGAATGGGTGCCCAATACTCGTGGTCTTCGGCATATTCTTCAGGACATCTACATAACTCTTGGGAAGTTTGATAGGGCGAAAACAAATTCACAAATCAAGAAAATATATGACACATGCCATGGGAAAATGCCTGACGATGTGATGCTGAAGACCAGAATCCTTCCAATGTTTCCCCCAGTTTTCCACAAATGGTTCTTGACAACATTCTCTGAACCAGCTGCATGGTTTCGTGCTAGAGTGGCATATGCACATACCACGGCAGTGTGGTCGATGGTTGGGCACATCGTGGGGCTGGGCGACAGGCATGGTGAAAACATCCTCTTCGACTCGACGACCGGGGACTGTGTGCACGTGGATTTTAGCTGCCTGTTTGACAGGGGCTTGCTACTGGACAAGCCTGAGGTGGTGCCGTTTAGGCTTACACAGGTAAGTAGCGAGAGCATGTCTTGGTTAGTTTTTCGTGCCTTTCAAGCTCTGTGGATATCTGACCTGTAACATGGTTTTTTTTTCTTGGACTTCAACTGCAGAACATGATCGATGGCTTGGGCATCACTGGGTATGAAGGCGTATTTTTAAAGGTCTGTGAAATCACTCTATCTGTTCTCAGGACCCACAAGGAGACCCTCATGACTGTCCTTGAGACCTTCATCCATGATCCACTCGTCGAGTGGACCAAACTTAACAAGTCTAGCGGAGGTGAAGTCCAGAACCCACACGCGCAGGTATGATGCATATACAGCAAGGGCACTGGACGCGCGCATATTGGACATGTCTTAGAAGTAGTAACCACCATTACACCGGTAGCATTCTGATGTATCTCTTGTTTTATACAATCCAATCTTCCAGAGGGCCATCACTAACATCAAATCGAGGCTCCAGGGAGTTCTGGTGGGTGTTAAAGCCAGCCCTTCACTGCCGCTCTCCGTGGAAGGCCAAGCGCGGCGGCTGATCGCTGAAGCAGTCTCCCTCAACAACCTCGGCAAAATGTACATCTGGTGGATGCCATGGTTCTAAGTTATATATAATAATAACAGGTCGTCCTCTCTATCTCTCTCCCCTTGCCAATTACTATGTATATATATGTAATTGGTTGACAGAAACTTTGGGCAGAAAGCGGCATTTTGTAATAGCCCTATGGCTGCCCTTATTGCTGCTGTACCTACTACCTAGCATATCAATGCTTCTTTCATCTAGTATAATATTACAACATGACTTTGGCCTCTCGGGGTAGCACTTATAGCAGTCAAAAATCTTAGTGTTGATCCATTGGCATTGGAAGTTTGGAACTGAACGAGTGGTGGTGTCCTGTGAGGTGTGACCGTGTGAGGCACAGGCAGTGCAAGTAGCGACGCCATGGCCCATGAGTGGAATCAAAAGGCAAACAATCAGGACTGCTTATTATAGAGCAGCAGTATTAAGGTCCTATCTCAAAAAACAGTATTAAGGTCCAGCCCAGCTAGTTATATGGGTCCGGCCCAGTTGGGTGTCCTGCAGGCTGTTTCCTTTCCACCAGCACATGGTGCGCTCTGTGTTAGATTTCCTCGTATGCCGGGCGGCAACGGTGTGGTGTGGTGTGGTGTGGTGTGGGCTGAAGAGAAGAGAGACGCTTGCTGGGGCCATCCATACCCTACTGGGACTTCTGGTGGAGATCATGGGCGGCGTCGCCTCCTGCTCGTGGACTATTCCCTTATATGGTTATGATGATGACTGACGGCGCTGCCCTCATCGTAATCATTGCGGCCGACGACCCACCCCGATCGGATCGACGCCCATCGGATGCCATGGAGAGCGCCCGCCTCGCGCGGCAACCTACAGCGCCGAGGGGATCAGAGGCCGTGAACGTGAGGGCATGTCGCCTCGCCGGCACGATGCTGCGGTGCTGGTGCTCCCACACAAGACAATACTACTGTCGGCAAACTATTATAGCGAGCAGTGCGTCGTCGAAGACGAGGCAGAGTGACACGCCTGCCAGTTCCAGTCCCCGGCTGCTGCTGCCAACACCCACCCCACCTGCGTCGACCGGTTCAGCATCTTTCTTTTCTTAATTACTTGCGCAAGCCTGTCATTCTTTTACTTCCTTAATATATTTTGTTATAATAACCCCATTCATCTTGTCCTGATGGCAACTCATTCCATCTACCACTACTATACTAAACATACTCCTATACATTAGCACGCACGGTCACCGTCTTCCTTGTATTAGATATTAGTACGACTACGAAAAGCAAAGCAAAGCAAAGGCGTCTGGCCTGGCCTGGGACTTGGACAAGAAGAGTACAAACTTTGGAGTCTAGGTGGGTTGTTCATTCCTTTACAAGGTTCAGATGGACAGGTAGGTGGGTTGTTCATTCCTCGCAGCATTGGCCATGAGCAATCAGTTAGCTGAAGATGCGGTTGGCTGCTTTATTAGGATTTAGGATAGGGCCATTACAAATTCGGTCAGGATGCTTTATTTCCATAATGAGCCTATATTTGATATACAGATGTTAACCGTTTGTTATAAATCTAGTTATGTTTAAAATCATTTGCCTCATAGACAAGTGAGACTTCCATTAAAGACGGTAGGAGTATTGAACTGTTAGCTCATCAGAAGATATAGAAGAAAAAAACGGGTTGGGCAGACAAACGGCTGGACACCGTCTCTGTCTGCGTAGCACTCCGTGTATACAAAAACTACTAGGGGTCAAATACGTCCATCAATGACGCTTTCCCTGCCGGCATCCTCTCCTCTATCCCTCTCTCTCCTGCAAAGGAGCGAGTGGCCGGCTAGCGGCTAGTCAGTCAGCTTTGTCTTGGTCCCCAGCCCAACCTCTCCCGCGGTCGCCGTGCAGAGCGCCAAGAGATACGACAAGCGCCACTGATCTGCTTCCGTGGTGAAATCTTTTACCGCCCTTAGAAAACGGAGTCCATCCATGGACCACGGACATGGAACCAACGGGAGCAGCAAGCAAGACGGGGAGATTGGGAAAGCGACCCTCCATGCTTGGACTGGACAGAGAGAGAAAGGAGAGGTGAAGAGAGGAGAGGGCCCAAGATCAACAAGAAGCAACAAAGTTTGGAGCCTCCGCGAGTCCCAATCAGCGTCCCGTGATAGCGATCATTACAGATGATGATGAACAGATGAAGCATGGAATGGAAGGAAGGGGGTTTTCCTCTTCCGCTCCCTCCTCTGGATTCATTAGGCGGCCGGAACTCTAGTGCTTGGTAGTAGTTGTATCAGAATGTGACAGCAAGCGAAAAAGAAGAGCAGAATTTTGTGGTGGCACTCTAGTGCCTCATTGTTTCCTGTCTGTTCTACTTCTACTCTACAAATACATTTCTTTGCTTCATTAGCTGGTTGCAGTGTCCGTCCACCGGCAATGGCGAATTGGCAATACATACAGATACAGATCATAAGCTGGACTGAACATTTCAGCAACACACATGCCCTTCCTTCCTTGATACCTCCACAATATGAGCTAACATTATATATCCACAATACAACGAACAGAACAGAACAGAGGAGCTGAATGAAGAACATTATATATAGATATATCCAAAAAGAGAGGGAATCGCCAAAGGCATTACTGATCAATCATTAGAAAGGCAGCGAGCTTTGCTCTTGTTAATTAATAAATATAGGAGAAAGATTCAGCAGCACAGGGCAACCTTTGCATCCTGCATGATGCTAGGACGGAGGGACACACACTGCTAACATGGATAGATCGAAGTGGGTTATGATGGGGAGATGGATTGCAAAAAGGCCTCCCAAATCTTTGCCGGCCTCTGCCCTGCCTGCCTTTTCTGTTACTGGACCTGAACTGATACTACTGCTGCTCCTTGCTACCACCGCTACTAGCGCTGCTTAAGCTTAATTTATTGCTGCCTCCTGCTCCTCCTCTTCTTCGTCCTCCTCCAGCCACGCCATGCCCTCTACAAGCAGCCTCCGCCGTAGCCAGCCTTCTTGAACAGCTCCTGCTTTATCGCGTCCGTGCTGATCATGTCCCTCTGCATCTGCGCCATTGTTGTCAGCGAAAAATTGTCAGCTTTTCTTTACCTCCAGCAACCATTCATGAAGCAAACTTGATGCATTGCATTGCATCCAATTTGACGGAGGTGTATGTAATGTATGGCCGCGAACCAATGGATGGATGGACAGGCAGTGGTCACTACCTCGGAGCAGGAGGCGTGCATGCCGAAGTCATTGAAGCAGCTGATGACGCACTGCTGGATGTCGAGCCCTAGTGTATCCAGCGTGCTCACCGTGGACAGCAGCAGCCCCGGCTTGGCGGCGCAGTAGATCTCCACCCGGGTGTCGCCGCCCTCCTTCCGCTCCACGTCGAACTGCACGAGGCATCACGTACATAGCAGCAGCATCTCAGCCTCGCCTCACATTTCCCTTCCCCCAATCGCAGCAGCAGCAGCAGCAGCTAGAAAAATCGTTTCTTCACGTACCTTGGGGGTGTTCCTGGCCACCATCTCGTTGGGGTTGAGCTCCCGGAAGACGCTGAGCATGCCCGGCGCCTCCTGCTGCTGCTGGTCGATCTCCTCCTGCAGCAGCTTGATCCTCTCCAGCAGCTCCTTCATGTAGTCGATCGTGTCGCCCAGGATCGACGTGCGGTCCATCTGCGCACCACGACGCACATTTCATCTCTCATCAGCCCAGCCGCCATAGATAGATAGATAGATAGATTGTTTGCTTGCTGTTACTGCAAATGTCCTTTCTTTGCCGAGGAGGACAAGAACCAAGAAAAAGGAGAGATTTTTTTTTTTGTCCTTCTCACCTTGCTGATCTTGGGCACGACGGAGCGCAGCATGGAGAGGCGGTCGTTGAGGCGCTTGCGGCGGCGGCGCTCTGCCATCAGGTTCTTGGACGGCATCCCCTCGACCCTCTTCTTCTTGGACGCCGGGGCCGGCGGCGGCGCGACACCGGGGCCAGGGCCGAACGCGCCGCCACTCTCCCCCAGGCCAGGCTCCACCTTGCAGACCCCGAGGCCCGCGGTGACGCCGCCGACGCCGCCGCCGTCCACCAGCGCCGCCGCCGCCTGGGGCTCGACGACGTCAAGGAACCCCATCTCGCCGCCGTAGTCACCGGCATTGGGCCCGCCGAACGCCGCGGCGGCGCCGTAGACCTCGCTGAGGCAGTCGAAGCTGGGCGCCGGCTGCGGCTGGGCGTAGGAGGCGGTGAAGGTGGGGAGGACGCTGACGGTGGGCACCTGGTGGTGACGGTCCTGGAAGCAGCAGTCCATGGCCGCCACCGGGGAGAAGAAGTCCCCCATGGCATTGCAGTCCCAGCCGTCCCTCCGCAGGGAGAGGATCTCCTCCAGGAAGGCCTGCTCTTCCAGCTCCATCGCCGCCGCCGCCTTCTCCTCGAACTCGAAGAATGCGAGAGGGTAAGCACAGAAAGAGGTGGTGGCGGCGGCTATGGCTTGCGAGGAGGAGGAAGGTGTGGTGGTGGGGAGAGGGAGAGCGGAGGATGCCAATGCCATGGGTGAGGGAAAGGGTGAGGGGAGACGGGATTAATATATGGGGAATGGAAGGGGGACAATTATTCCCTATGATAAATGGTGAACAGTGGCCATTAAGGTAGGTTTGAGTTGAGGGCTCACATGTCATTAGGGGAGAGGAGGGAGCTACTAGTGTTGATGGGATTGGATTGCAAAGGAAAAGAGGCATGCTGTTGCTGCTGTGCCTTCTCAGTTCTCACTACACTACTTGATGGTTAGTATGCTTGTATTGTGTTAGTTCACATTCATCCATCCATCCATTTGTCTGTTTGTTTAATTAATTAATCCATGGGTTTTGCTGTTGATTAAGTGTGGTCTGTACTGCTAGTAGCAGTAGAATGCAGAGAGGCCCCCAATCTGTTTTTTTGTTGTATTGTGACTTGTGAACCCTAGGGAAGAATAACAGTGATAGGCTCTAGGATTCGTCCTGTTGGGTAAAAGCTCTGTCTTGTGATCCCATCACTCATTCATCAGTTGTTATTATTCGCTCGTTGGTTTCAGCCATGGCTTATCAGTTAATTAATAGTA